GGGAGCCACTATGTCCTAAGGCAGCCTATTTCACTTTGGGGCAGCTCTAGTTCTTAGGAACTTTTTTCCTTGCCATCAAGCCTAAAGTTGATTGCTTCTTTGTAACTTCTTCCCTTTGCTTCTGGTTCTGCCCTCTGAGGCCAAACACAACAAGGAGCAATGGTGGTAGCCCTTAAAATACTTGATTTTAAAATTTTATTTAATTTTCAGAATTTTATTGTCTACTTTGTAACATTCATTTAAAATTTTTTTTTGAGGTCCAGATTCTCTCCATCCATTGAGAAGGCAGGCAATATAATAGAAATTGTACGTGTGAAATCATACAGAACATATTTCTGTATTGGCCGTGTTGCAGGAAAAAAAGCAAGAAAAATAAAGTGAAAAAATTATACTTCAGTTTGCACTCATAGCTTTATCAGTTCTCTCTTTGAAGGTGGATAGCATTTTTCATCATCTTTCACGATTGTCCCAGATCATTGTTTTAAGCAATGTAGCTAAGTCTTTCAGACTTGATCATCATTACAATATGGCTACTACTGTGCCTGGTTCTGCTCACTTCACTTTGCTTCAATTCATATGTCTTCTTAGGTTTCTCTGAAGCCATCCCCTTTGTTATTTTTTGTAGCCCAATAGCATTCCATTATAATTATTCATCACAACTTGTTCAGCCATTCCCCAAATGATGGGCATCCTCTCAATTTCCATTTCTTTGCCACCACAAAAAGAGCCACTATAAATATTTTTGTATGTGTAGGTCCTTTGCCCTTTTCTTTGCTATCTTTGGACCTAGCAGTAGTATTGTTGGATCAAAAGGGAAGCACAGTTTTGTAGTCCTTTGGGTGTAATTCCAAATTGTTCTCCCAAATGGTTGGACCAGTTCACAGCTCCACCAGCTCTTTTCCCATATCCTCTCTAAGATTTGTCATTTTCCTTTTCTGTCAGGTTAGCCAGTCTGATGGGTATAAGATAGAACTCCAGAGCAGTTTTAATTTTCATTTCTTTAATCAATATGATTTAAAGCATTTTTTAAATTTAACTATAGATAGCTTTGCTTTCTTCTTCTGAAAGCTACCTGTAAATATCCTTTGATCATTTATCAGTTGGGGAATAGATCTTATTTTTATAAATTTGGCTCAGGTCCCTATATATTTGGGGCTTTTACCAGAGAAACTGGCTGTAAACAAAATTTCCCCCCTAGTTTTCTGCCTTAAAATAATTGAACACAGTTATCATGGTTGTCCCTGAGTTTTCTCCTCCTCATGCTAAATATTCCCAGTTGCTTCATGTATCCCTTCTGTGACATGGATTCAGTCCTTTTACCATCCTGGTTACCTTACTGGATGCTCTCTGGCTTATGATATTGTCCTAAAGTTTAGGACCTAATTGTGGTGCCCAGAACTGAGTACAGTATTTCTGATGTGGACTGAGGTGGGGGATGAAGACAATCACTGCCTTATTTTGGGACCTAGAGCCCTCAGTGCAGCCACTGCACGTTCAAACTGAGCTTACTTACAGTCCATTAAAACTCCCACATCTTTTTAAGACAAATTACAACTTTCTGAACTCCAGCCATCACACACATTCACCCCAGTGTTCTAATCCATTAAGATCCTTTTGGATCCAGGGGCAGCTAGGTGGTGCAGTGGATAGAGCATCAGCCCTGGAGTTGGAAAGACCTGTGTTCCAATCCAGCCCCAGACACTAACTAGCTGTGTGACCTGGGCCAAGTTACCTAATGCCCTTGCCCCCCCCCAAAAGAGCTTTTTAGATCCATACTCTTACCATTTTTCCCAGCATATATATTATTTCCAGATTTTATAAGCATGTCATTTGTACCTTAATCTTAAAATCAAACTGAGTGTAGCCAAGTACAGATCCCAAAACCTGATTAGTTTACTGGAGTTCTCCTTCCAGAACTACGTCTTTCACTAATGTCTACTTTTGTAGCCAATTCTGAACATACCTAACTCGCCTATTGTCTGTCCTAGTTCTCGCCACCCTTTCCACAAGAATAGTATCAGATGTTTTATCAAATCCTTTGGTGACACAGGTTCATATTTGTGCATCCATGCACACGCTCGTAGGCATTAAGGTTCATTGAAACATGTACTGACAGCTATTGTCTTTCCCTTTTTCCTTCCTTTTCCCAGAAGGCAAATTGGTAGCCAAGGGAATGAATGCTAAGAAACAATGTTGTTCTGAATGTTAAGATTCCTTCTCCCAGAAAGACCAAGGAAGCTACTTATAAATGAATAGGGCCCACAGTACTTAGAAGTGAATACTAGAGCGTGCACAAATACTGGTGGGAAAGTATTTGGAGTCCTCGATTTCTGCTGTAATGAGTTTCCGTATCTGAAAGGAAAATGGAAAAATATGCATTGCTAGCCTCTGACCACTAGAGGGTGTACTTTTGTTAAAATCAAATGCTAATTGAATTTATGCAGTGTCTCAGAAGGCTTTTCATGATAAATGAGAAACGTGTCTATGTAGAGAAGTTGGGAGTGAAGTTCAGCTTCTTTTTAGGTAGCATTGAGAGAGCATTCACTAACCTGTCACACACTCTGCGTTGTATAAGACAGCACAAAAAAACCTGGCTTTCCAGGACCTTTCTGTTGGAGGGAACGACATACGTGACAGTAACTTGTACAAGTAAATACAAAATAATTTCTGTTAGAGTGGTTGCTCATAACTGGTGAATCAGCCTAGGCCTTCTCTAGGAGGGGCTGTGTGTGAGATTGGCCTTGGAGGAGGGTGAAGATTAGGAGGAATGGAATTTCAGGCAGAGTAGACAGCAGTCTTTGTAAAAGGCACACTGGTGAAATATGGAATGTGAGGTAGGGGCATTAAGCAGGGGGCAGCTAGTGTGGCTGGGGAGCAGAGTCTATGTACAAAGCCTTTGTAGGAGAGTGGAATGGAGAGGGGAGAGATCTGAAGCTAGGATTTCAATTAGAAACCTAGCAAATCACCCAGAAGTTATTGTGTTAACTGTGTGCCAGTGATTGGGATACAAGGAAAGGTGAAAACATTTAACTCAATCCCTGCTCTCATAATGGGGGTGGGGTGGGGATGTGTTTGTTTTTGAAGAGGGATTCCGTTTTTTTACAAAATTTTTTATTTTTGTTTTTCATGTAACAAGTATTTTTTTTAAGATAGCCTGTTTCTTCTCCTAACTTCCTCTCTAAGCAAATAAAGAAATTCTGAAAAACATCTTAATATATATTAGTCCAACAAAACAATTTGTTGCATTGGCCACGTCCAAAAAAATGCACATCTCTGCATTTCAAGTTGATCACTTCTGTTAATAGGTGAGTGGCATATTTCATTTTCATTCCTTTGAACTTGTGATTTATCACTTTACTGGTGCTCCAGAGTCTTTCTCTCAAAGATATTTTTCCTCTGTAATGCTGTTACCACTGTGTGCATTGTTTCGATTCTTCTGTCTTTGCATATCATCAGTTCATAAGGGTCTTCCTGGTTTCTTTTGTGAAATTATCCATTTAATCAATTTCTTTTGACAGAGTAATATTCCATCACATTTTTATACTATAATTTGTTTAGCCATTCTCCAGTAGAAGAACAGCATTAGTTTCCAGTTTTTGCCTACCATGAAAAGAATTGCTATAAGTATTTCTATACATATGGATCCTTCTCTTTAAAAAAAAAATCCTTGGGAATATAGGCTAGTAGTGATATGTTAACTGGGTCAAAAGGTATAATCAATGTGGTAATTTTCTGGACATAGTTCCAAATTGCTTTACAGAATGGCTAGGTGAAATCATAGCTCCACCAACAGTGTACTCATGGACCTGTTTTGGGGAGATGGTATATTACTAAATAGGTAGATATATGATATATTTAGTTTAGAAGGAAGGTGACCCTTTGTTCAGGTGAGGGATGATATAGGCCTGAATTAAAGTTGATGGCTTCTATGAGTAGATAAAAGGGGATAGTAGCAAGAGATGGGAATGTGGAATTTATGAGACTTGGCAAATGACTGGAATTGGGATGTGAGGTAGAATGAGTTGAGGATAACTGAGGTTGGAAACCTAGGTGGCAAGAAGGATCATGGTGCTTTTAACAGAATTAGGCAATTGGGGAAGGAGGGACATTGTGTGTGGTCGTGGCAGGGTACATAATAAGTTCTGTTTGAGATTCCTGTGGGATTTGCAGTTGGAAATGTTCAGTAGTCAGTTGGTGACGTGGAACTAGAACTCGAGAGAAACATCAGAACTAGAGTTTAGATGCAGAGAGATGACAGTTGAACTGATAGGAGTTGGTAAGATCACCAAAAGAGAGGGTAGAGAAGAGGAACCAGTATAGAGCCTTGGGGTCCAATTACTGAGGGGCAGGAGGGGTCAGGAATTAAATGTTAATCCAGCAGAGAGACTGAGGAATGGGCTGAGAGATGGAGAACCAGAAGAGAGCAGTGTCGTGAATACCCAAGGAGGAATCAAGAAAGGATGAACGCCATCAGTTGCTACAGAGAGGTCAAGAAAGGATGAGGACTGAGAAGAAACCAATGGATTTGACAATTAAGAGACTATTGGTAACCTTGAAGAGAGCAATTTCAGTTGAGTGAGTGGGGAGCCAGATTTCAGAGGATTGAGTAGTGGGAAGAATTGAAGATGAAAAGTAAGGGCTGGCTTTCCCTAGAAGTTTGAGAAAGTGAGGAGAGGGGTATAGGTGGATAAATACCTTAAGGGAAAGTTGATAAGGTGATCAAATGAGTTAATGTATATAAAACTTCTCTCCATATAAGTGATAGTCATTAGTAATAGGGCCAAGTGAAGGGCTTTTTTTTTTTTTTAAATGATTGAGAGAGGCAGCAAGGAAGAAGAATAGATGGGGAGATATCAATGAAATAAAGGCTACACCTATTACTTTGACAAGCAGATCAGAAATAGGAAAGAAAAGCACTGTTTAGTAGCACTTCTAAAATTATCTTTGTACTAAAAAAAATGTTTTAATTGTACTAGAAACTGATGTTCTTTTGTGTTTAGTTTTCAGATGCAAGTTATGGACAAAAACTCATTCGGATTATGTATTTCTCAGCTAGACTACATAAATATTAACAATGGATAAATGCAAGCATGTTGGGCGGCTTCGGCTTGCTCAAGATCATTCCATCCTCAATCCTCAAAAATGGCATTGTGTGGATTGTAATACTACAGATTCGGTTTGGGCTTGCCTTAGCTGTTCTCATGTGGCGTGTGGAAGATACATTGAAGAACACGCACTCAGGCACTTTCAGGACAGTAACCACCCAGTAGCATTGGAGGTGAATGAGTTGTATGTTTTCTGTTATCTTTGTGATGACTATGTTCTTAATGATAATGCAACCGGTGACTTGAAATTATTGCGGAGTACACTGAGTGCAATCAAAAGTCAGAATTATGACTGCACTACTCGGAGTGGAAGGATTTTACGCTCTATGGGTACCAGTGATGACTCTTACCCTTCACATGGTGGTGCCCAAGCTCTCCTTCGAAATGAAGATCAAATGTTCACTGCTCTTTGGCATAGGAGGCGGATGCTAATTGGGAAAGTATTTAGATCTTGGTTTGAACAAACTCCCATTGGGAAAAGGAGATTAGAAGAAGAAAGACTTCAGGAAGAAGCAGAAGCGAAGAGAGAAGAAGCAAGGAGAAGACGACAGGAACTGAAGCGTCAGTTTAAGGCAGAAATGGAGAAAATGCCTCCAAGGAAAAGTTCACGTTTGCAAGGCCTTGCCAGGTCTGGCATTATGGAAATGCTTCCTATAAAGAAACTTTCTCAGAGCCTGACATCACCAGTGACTGGTAAAAAAGTGTCTACCTCACATGAAATAAGATTTAAAAAAGTGAGTGATTCCCCTGTCAAACGAAGACCAACAGTGACTCCTGGGGTAACAGGATTGAGGAATTTGGGTAATACCTGCTATATGAATTCTGTTTTGCAGGTATTAAGTCATTTACTTATTTTTCGGCAATGTTTTTTAAAATTGGATCTGAACCAAACTCAAGAATTGCTGGCTGCAGCTGCTAGTGGGAAGACTAGATCTTCTTGTAAACACCCACCAATCACAGATTCTCTGTTTCACATAAGAGAAAATCAAGAAAAATATAAAGGCTGTCCTGGGTCACGACGCCCAAGTCTGTCTTCAGGTTTAAGTGGTGGGGCATCTAAAAGCAGAAGCATGGAACTTATTCAGCCCAGGGAGCCAAGTTCCAAATATATTTCTCTTTGTCATGAGCTGCATACTCTTTTCCAAGTTATGTGGTCTGGAAAATGGGCATTGGTGTCCCCATTTGCCATGTTACACTCAGTGTGGAGGCTGATACCAGCATTCCGTGGTTATGCCCAACAGGACGCTCAGGAATTCCTCTGTGAACTTTTGGATAAAGTGCAGCATGAACTGGAGACGACAGGTACCAGGTATCCAGCACTCATCCCCAGTTCTCAAAAGAAACTTATCAAGCAGGTTCTGAATGTGGTGAATACCATCTTTCATGGACAGCTTCTTAGTCAGGTATGAATTGTTTTTGTTGTGCTGTTGTTTGAAGTTTTCGGTCTGGGTAAGGTTTTGGGAAGCATTCTTAAATATGCCATCCTATTCATGATGTTCTGTTTTTGGTGATTTTCCCCCCTTTACTGGAATATTTCCAAAGTTCGTATTAGCGAGTTTTGCCACAAATGAGGATAAAACAAGTGGCTGGTATAGTACTTTAAGCTGTTACTTTTAAAAAAACAATAACAACAACAAAAAACTATGAGTGGGGACTGGACCAAAAATTAGGATCAGAGAAGATAATTCTGAAGGAAGAGTAATAGGGTATTGACAGTTTTAAAAAGAAAAATGGGAAATATTTAGAATTTGAGGTTATTATGAAGATGATTATGAGGTAGAATTTTAGGTGGTTGGGGGGTTTGTAAAATTGAAGAGGTCGCAAGAATTAAGTCCATTAGAATGTGAGCTCCTTTTGAAGCAGAGACTATTTTTGCCTTTCTTTGTATCTCCAGCACTTAACACAATGCCTGGCACGTAGTAAGCACTTAATAAATGCTTATTACCTTGACAAAATTCAGCTACCCAAACTAAATATTGAGGCAAAAGAAAGATTTGGTGATCTTGGCCACTGCCTCAGTTCTCTTATCAGTTGAATTCCTAATTTCAGGGCTGGATTAGATGGTCTTTGAGTTCCTTTTTCTGTCTTTTCTATATTGCTTTGAGAATGTAGAGAACTGTCAGTCTGTAGACTTGAAAATGTTTCCCTGTCATACCTGTTTTCTCTTGCTATGTCCCAAAAAGTAGTACTCTATTTATTCTATATTTTTAGAGGAAGGGTGAGATAAAGGCAAAGATTCAGGCTTTGTTCTTAACTGTAAGTCTCCAGTAGCATTTGGACTTAATGGAGAAATAAGGAAGCATCTCCATTTTCTTGAAATAAGGTTATTTTTTTCCAATTTTAAAAAACATTTTTATTTAAAGTTTTGAGTTCTGAATTCTGTTCCTCCCTCTTCTTTCCCCTTCCCCTCTCTGAGATAGTAAGCAAATGCACATTATTGTGCAATTATGTAAAATATTTCCATAGTCATTTTGTACGTGAAGACTTGAATAAAAGAAAAAATATGAAAGAAAGTGAAATCAGATGAAGAAATTAAATCTATCTGTAGTCTTATGAAAAAATATTCTAAATCACTATTGATTAGAGAAATGCAAATTAAAACAACCCCGAGGTACCACTTTACACTCATCTGATTGACTAATATGACAAAAAAGGAAAATGATAAATGTTGGAGATGTGGGAAAATTGGAATGCTAATGCATTTTTGCTGGAGTTGTGAACTGATCCAACCATTCTGGAGAGCAATTTGGAACTATGCTGAAAAGGTAGTCATGTGTATGCCCTTTGATTCAGCAATACCACTTCTAGGTCTGTATCTCAAAGAGATCATGAAAAAGGAAAAAGGACCCACATGTACAAAAATATTTATAGCAGCTCTTTTCATGATGGCAAAGAATTGGAAATTGAGGGGATGCCCATCATTTGGGGGAATGGCTGAACAAGCTGTGGTATAAGAATGTAATGGAATACTATTGTTCCATAAGAAATGATGAGCAGGTGGTTTCAGAAAAACCTGGAAAGACTTACATGAACTGATGCTGAGTGAAATAAGCAGAACCAGGAGAACATTGTTTACAGTTACAGCAACATTGTGCGATGATCAACTATGACTAACTTAGCTCTTCTCAGCAATACAATGATCTAAGTCCGTGAGCCTTTTCATATCTAAACAAAGAGCTATGGAGTCTGAATGCAGATACAGGCATACTATTTTCTTTCTCTTTTTTTTCTTATGGTTTTCCCCTTTTGTTCTGATTTTTCTTTCACGACATGACTAATGTGGAAATGTGTTTTTTAAAAAAGAAAGAAAGAAAAAGTGAAAAATAACATGCTTCAATCTGTGTTCAGTCAATATCGGTTCTTTGTCTGGAGGTGGATAGTATGCTTTGATAGTATGCTTCATCATTAGTCCTTTGGGATTGTTTTGGATCATTGTATTGTTGAGAACAGCTAAGTCATTCACATTTCTTCATCATACAGTATTGCTGTTATCATGTATAACGTTCTCCTGGTTCTTCAGTATGCATCAGTTCATGGAAGTCTTTCCAGGTTTTTCTGAAATCATGCTGCTTGTCATTTCTTATAGCTAGCACAATAATATTCCATTACAATCATATACCACAACTTGTTTAGCCATTCACCAATTGGTGGGTATCTCTTTGATTTCCAATTCTTAGCCGCCACAAAAAAGAACTATAGCAGTTCAAATATTTTTGTACAAATAGGTACTTTTCCCCCTTTTTTTAATGTCTTTGGGATATAGACCTAGTAGTGGTATTGCTGGATCAAAAGGGATGCACAGTTTTGCAGCCCTTTGGGCATAGTTCCAAATTGTTCTCCAGAATGGTTGGATTAGTTCACAACTCCAACAGGGCATTAGTATCCCAGTTTTCCCACATGCCTCCAACATCTAATGTTTTCTTTTTTTGTCACATTAGCCACTCTGATAGGTGTGAAGTGGTACCTCAAAGTTGTTTTCATTTGCATTTCTCTGATCAATGGTGATTTAGTAGATATAGTCATATGACTATAGATAGCTTTGATTTCTTTGTCTGAAAACTACCTGTTCATATCCTTTGACCATTTATCAATTGGGGAATGAGTTGTATTTTGTTTGTTTTTTTGCTTTTGGGTGAGGCAGTTGGGGTTAAGTGATTTGCCCAGGGTCACACAGCTAGTATGTGTCAAGTGTCTGAGGTCACATTTGAACTCATGTCCTCCTGACTCCAAGACTGGAGCTCTATCCACTGCGCCACCTACCTACCCCAATGAGTTGTATTTTTATAAATTTGACTCAGTTCTCTCTATATTTTAGAAATGAGGCCTTTATCAGTGATACTTGTTACAAAATTTTTCCCCCAGTTTTCTGCTTTCCTTATATTTTAGTTGCATTGGTTTTGTTTTTGCAAAAACTTTTTAATTTTATATAATCACAGTTACCTGTTTTACACTTGTAATGCTCTCTATGTTTTCTTTGGTCCTAAATTCTTCCCTTATCCATAAATGTGACATAAACTATTCTATGCTCTCTTAACTTGCTTATCCTATCACCCTTTGTCTGTAAATCATGTACCCGTTTTGATCTTCTCTTGGTATACTATGAGATATTGGTCTATACCTAGTTTCTGCCATACTGTTCTCCATTTTTCCCAGCAGGTTTTGTCAAATGAGTTTCTGTTCTAAAAGTGTGGATCTTTGGGTTTATCATGTACTAGATTGCTACGGTCATTTACTATAATGTAATTTGTACCTAATTTTTTGCACTGATCCACCACTCTATTTCTTAGCCAGTACCAGGTTGTTTTGATAATTACCAAATAAGCTTATTTTTCCTTTTTTTGTCTGTTTATTTAGCATTTCCTCCCAGTCACATTCTAAATTTTTAACATTTTTTAACATTCTTTTTAGAACTTTAAGTTCCAAATTCTCTCCTTTCCTCTCTCCCCACCCACTTCATTGAGAAGGCAAGCAATTCACTATATGCATGTGTGGTCATAAAGCTTATTTTTTAAGTGCTTTGATTTTGTTTTTGTTCTCACCTTTACCCCCACAAGCTTTCCCTCATTAGCGTTCAGTCTTCATGGTGACTATGTCACTATAAGCTTTTCTAGCATATTTCTTTGAAATTTCTTTTACAGATGCCATATGTAATTAATTTGAGAGCGCAGTATACCTGTGATTTAGTAATCATTTCCTGCCTTTTATAGAAGTATAATGAATGATTCTGTGGAGTGCCAAAGGTTAGTTCCTTAGTAAGTGAAGTGCTCTTGACACAAATACTGGCATCTTCTTCTCACTGGCCGCCTGTGCCCTTTGTTATGGCTGGTTTTACAATCAGATTTCATTCCATTTTATAAGTGAATTTTGGGGAAATTGTTTCTCCATCCATAAAGATGTTCTCGGAAAGGCCAGATGGCCATGGCCTGGTGGTTTGAAAGTGGATGTCAGGGTCTGAAAGTCACAGGTGTGAGTTCTGCCTCTGAGACATCTTGGCAACGTGACCCTGGGCTAGTCATGTCAGATTTCACTGCTGTAGGGTAGTTATATCAAACCCAAACAGGAAAGGGCCCACTGATTTGTGCCAGAGGATCCCCGGGCTGCAATATTGACTTAATTTTAAAATGTGATAATATATTTGGTTTTTTGTATTTTTATTTTATTAAATGTTTCCCAATTATATTTTAACCTGGTTCTGGCAGACAGGAGGCATGTGGACCATGTGTTTGAGGCCCTCAGTTCTCCTGGAATGAGTGATAATATTAAAGAGAAAAGGGTGGGGGAAATTAGAGACTTTTCCCTCTCCCCTCATAATCGCCATAATGAGAGGAAAAAACAGTGGAGAAAAAACACAGAGATCTAAGCTTTTCCTCCTCTCCTTCCTAAACTTTGAAAGGATTAGGTCTCAGCAGTCTGGTCCATGTGGTGGGTGATGGTCTCCTAATACAGGAGGTGAAGATGAAGTGGAGCAGTCCCAGGAACATCCCAGCTGCAGCATGGATGCTTTTACTTCCAGTACAGTCGCAGATTTCTCCCGATATGAGGGGCTGCAGCTACAGGAACATCGGGGCCACAGCATGGCTATCTCTTCAGTCAGCAGTTCTTGATCATGAATCAGGGTCATCTGTAGTAAAGTAGCTGTTAGCCTCTTGAATGTAACCTGTCCTGGGATTTAGTTTGATACTGAATCTTTCTCTTTACTGCCACCCACTCACCTACCCAAATCTTCCCCTCCTAAAGAGCCGTATCAAGGGAATGATTCCAAATCTTTGCCGCCGCCGTCCTCCCCCCCCACCGGAGTCCTCCGGAGCGGCTGTTCCCTCTTTCCTCCATTCCATAGTGAGACAGGATTACCACCTAGTCGTCTAAAGTGGGATCCCCTTTCTTCTAAGTAAGTATACTACCA